TCATTAGAACTACAATATAAACTTGTTACTTTTCATTTCAGAAACTTGACTACTGCAAATTTTATATTATTACTACCCACAACAAGTTTCTTTTGCAAGAAAATTGAAATAAAGGGATATCAGGGTCAGATATGTTTCTACTTGGTTAAGTATTTTAAGTAGGTCAATGTAATAACATAAAATTCTAAAGAGAAGAAAGAATCCTCATAAATTATCTAGGTTGGTCATGCTAATCTAAATTTCTGGAATTCGATATTTTCCTCATAAACTTCGTCAGAGGCTTGGAAAGTCACCCAGTTGCCGTTGGTGTGGGAATGGCATTGTTGATGAGGGTCAGGGGAAACAGCATGAGTTTAGTTGAAATGTCTGAGACACCCAGGCGGCTGTGGCAGCGAAGGAGTTGACTGCAATGAGGCGATGATGTGCAGGTCTCCACAGCATCTACTGTCAGGCACAAGGTCTCAGCTAAAAGGGAGGGATGTAACAAACTGTTCCATTTCCACCTATATTTCTAATTTTAAATGAAGCTAGGATTGAAATTATAGGCTACACTATTGGCATTTTCCTGTGACTCATTGTTATCAGTCTGTCTTTTTTTTACCTAGTTCTTGAGAACAATAGGAATTCTATGGTATTTTGGGTTGCATCTTAAGTGAAAATTTTTACTTCTCAATAGTTATCACAAAGGCCGTCCAACATTCTTTGTCCTAGAAAATATATTCCCACTGTAGCCTATATATAAAACCATGTATATTACATATATATATATGTATGTATATGCGTACACAGACACATACACACACATATGTATACTGTATATTTGTCCATTAGCCATAAAACCATGGGAATGAAAAGACAATGTTCTATTAATTAAATAAAAGAAATTGTACATTTAATGCCTCTTACAAAGATAGTTTTTCCAAAAGCATTTACTAGCTTTTCTCATCAGTGCTAAATAAGAATTTTATTAGTTTATTTGATAACTGCATCCTATTACTTCAGATACTAGTATGAAATAATACATTAAGTATAGATGGTATTGCTATATAAACAAGACCAAGAAACTTAAAATTACAGAGCCGTGTTTAAGCCGAGACCCTCTGGAAAATACAGCAAATGTTCCAGTAAACTTGGATTAATACAAGAGTAAGTATTATCATTTGCTTTCAGTGTCTAATTCAAAGAGCAAATGTTATAATATCTGCTTTCTTGGCTGTAGCGGGAAAGTCCCAAAGCTGCTTAGCTGGTTGGTTGAGACAGAGTATTTTTTAAAAAATAAAATATTTTTTCCAGTCTATCACACTTTCCCCTCCCTTCTTTCCTTCCAGTTCCTCCCCTCACCCACCCCCCCAACCTCTCCACTCTTCATCCTTTCTCTTTAGATCTCCCTTAGATATCAGCCAGCTATGGCAGATCAAGTTGCAGTAAGAGGAGGCATTCTCTCATATTAAGGCTGGGCAAGGCAACCCAGTAGCACGAAAGGGCTCCAAAAGCAGGTGGCAGAGTCAGAGACAGCCCCTGCTCCACTGTTAGGAGTCCAAGAAGACCAAGCTACATAACTAAAACATATACACAGAGGGCCTTGGTCCATTCCATTCACGCTCTCTGATTGGTGGCCCAATCTCTGTGAGCCCCTATGATCCCAAGTAGTTGATTCTGCGGTATCCTTGACCCCTCTACTTCCCGCAATCCTTCCTTGCCCTCTGCCACAGGATTAGCCAAACTCAGCTTCGTGGTTGACTGTGGGTCTCTGCATCTGTTTCCATCCGTTGGTGAAGGAAGCCTCTCTGATGACAGTTGGGCCAGGCGCCAGTCTATAACAGCTTATCATTAGGAATCATTTCATTGACTTTTCTTTTTTGCCAGACATATTAGGTTCACTCCTAGGTCTCTGGGGTATCACACCTTTCGGTTTTGGCACTCAGGGATGAGCTTTCTCTTCGGGTATGGGTCTCCAGCTGGCCAGTCATTAGTTGGTCACTCACAATTTCTTTATCCCAGAACATCTTGAAGGCAGGAAAAACTGTAGGTCAAAAGGTTTGTCATTGGGTTGGTGTCCCAGTTCTTCCACTAGAAGTCCTGTCTGGTTGCAGGAGATGGCTGCTTCAGGCTTCATATCTGTCTTAGCTAATGTCACCCTCATAGATTGCTGGGAGCTTCCATTGCACTAGGTTTCTAGTTCATTCCAGAGATGTTAAGGCAGAGTATTGATTGTATCAAGATTGTCTGTTATCTGGGAATCCTAGAATGTAACTTATGGTAGCTGGGAACGTAACGTCATTTTATGACTGAGTAAACTTTGATTAGAAAATGAACTGGCCTTAGACCATAACCATACTGATGAATATTTTGCATATTACCACAGAACCTTCATCTGGCGGTGGATGGAGATAGAGACAGAGACACACATTGGAACACTGGACTTAACTCCCTAGGTCCAAATGAGAAGCAGATGGAGGGAAAACGTGAGCAAGGAAGGCAGAACCAGAGGAAACCCTCATCCGACGATAGATGGAGATAGAGATGGAGACCCACATTGGAGCACTGGACTGAGCCCCCAAGGTCCAAATGAGGAGCAGAAGGAGGGAGAACATGAAAATGGATGTCAGGACCGCGAGGAGTACGTTCACCCACTGATACATGGGGACTGATCGAATGAGAGCTCACCAAGGCCAGCTGGACTGGGACAGAAGGAGCATGTGATCAAACCGGATTCTCTGAATGTGGCTGACATGGGGGCTGACTGAGAAGCCATTGACAATGGCACTGGGTCATGTTTCGTCTGCATGTACTGGCTGTTTGGGATCCTAGTCTGTTTGGATGCTCACCTTCCTAGACCTGGAGAGAGGGGGGAGGGAGTGGGGAGAATGGGAGGGTATTGGGAGGAAACCCTGACTGCTCTTAGGACTGGAGAGGGAGGAGGAGAGGGAGTGGGGGGACTGGGAGGGTATTGGGAGGAGGGGAGAAAGTGGAAATTTTTATAAATAAATAAGTTTAAAAAAAAAAGACTGAGAAAGTTTTAATAAGGTTCTAAACACATAAAAATCTAACCATATGCAACATCCTAGTCTCCTTTCTCTTATTTAAGAGGAGGTTTGCTGCAAGTTGCTTTTGGTAATGGTCTGGAAAAAATGTTAAACAAAAGAGATTAGATTCTGGGGTTTTGCTGTGAAACAAAAGGGGCAGTATAGAAATGATAGATTAAAGGGTAGATTGTTGAATATACTTTAATCCCCAAAACAATTACTAATCTTAAATTTTACATAGGTATGGATTTGGGTTTGCTAGTACAAATCTAAAGTTAATTTTGTTATACTGTATGTAAATTTCTACTCTTGTTTAAGATATTGTGTTTATGCAGCTCATTTTAAAATGTAATGTATAGTTAAATAAATATTAATGGTCATCTAAAAAAATGAACAAATAAAGCCTAACATATATATTAGTCACCATTTATGGATACCATAAATGAGTGCATAAATTTGCTGACATATACTTTTGTTCACCACTTTTGCATTGCTGTGACAGAAAATGTAGCAAACATAATGGAAGGAGAAAAGTTGTATTTTGATTCATGGTGGAACAATTCAGTTTATGGCAACAGGAGCATATGACTGTGACTGTTCCCATAATATGGGCAAGAAAGCAGGGCTCTCAGGAGCAAGGACTCTGTTGTAAGACTTCTCGACCCCTGGTAATGTACTTCCTTTAATAAACCCTGACCTCCTTAGGGTCAGACAGTTCCCTAAACAGCACATGGTCTGGGGAACAAGCACTAAAAACAGGGACTCAGGGACTTTCCTAAACAGACAATTCTAAACTGGCTACCCCAAAACAAAGCTCACATTTGTGAATGCATTTCTATTAAGTTCAATGTCCAAAGCCTTTGGGTGTCATTGTCAAATCTTAATATAAGTTGGTTAAGGACTCATTACAATGTGTACCATTCTCTTGCACATATTATTAAAGATTGTTTTTATAAAAGGCTAAAAAACCTTTAAACTACATTTGTAACATGATAGGGTAATAGTTTTTCTACAAGTGCTGTTATAACAATTTGTATGTCTTGCAGGCCCTGCTTCGCTTTCCATTTGCCTATAATTTCATGCAAAAGGCAGTATGTCTACTTAGGTAGAAACTAGTCAGCTCCAACATTTTACTCAAACTCAGCTGGCTTCCTCTGTCATGCTCTTGTGCTAGTAGATGTGGTGGGCCATTTCAAACTTATACCTTTTATACCTTGGACTCCTCGGCTCTCCAACTCAGCACTGCATATACTTGTGACCCTTTTTAAAATCTCATTAGTTCTGGGTCAGAGTACTAACTAGTCCATTCATATTTGCATGAGATTATTCATACTTCCCAACAACTAGCTTCCTATTTGAATACCAGGTATTTCTGATGGGTGAACTATCTTTTTCAGCAAGTTAAAGATTGTTCAACTGTGCAGTGTTTGAAAAAAAATAACCTGACTATGGGTAGCAGGGATATCTATTGTAGGCACTGTAGCAATGCCCAGGATGTCCAGGCTCAGAGGTACCTTTCTTCAGCAGATTTTTGCTGCCTTGTGTAGTTTGTAAAGTCAGAGGAGGGAACCGCATGGTGTGGTGCAAGTACTATTGTGTAACTCACAAATATGTTAACAACAAAATCTGTTCGAAAGCTTGCTTAATTGTTATCCAAATGTGAAAACCTTGGAGGCAATTCTCTGTATTTAGTGAAATTAATTACTATTCCCTTTGCCCTAGTTTCTAGCTTATGCACATACCAGTCTATAATTGTCTTCTCTTCTATTCCCTCTCCTGTTCCCCTTCCCCAGGCCTCCCCAATACCACAAGCAAGGTAAGTCTTCTTTTGGTTTCGTAACTATTTCTTGACCTATTGTAATTAAAGAAAACACGGAAGTTCTCATAGCTTGTCATTAACATAGAAATTTCTTGCTAAACCTTTTTCTAGCAATAAACATTTGTATGTGTCACTAAGAAAATAAAGGACAGAAAGCAGGTTCTCTTATTTAATGCATCAAAGGAGTTGATCATCTTGCATTCCTGGCTACAGGGTCTGCTGCTGCTGAGTTGGACTAAGACGTAAGATGCACAGTCCCACCTTCTGAACATCAGAGCAGTGTCCATTTGTATTTTCGGAATTACACAATGTTTGATTTTTACAGTCCAGGATACTAGTTACGTTATGAACATCTTCACTTCCTAAAATCAAACATAAATTATAACAACACAGACCTTGAAAGCTATTTGCTTACACATTTGTTCATTAAGTTCTATCAGTGATTTCAAAATAAATCTTGATGGGAAAATCCTGGTAAAAATAGCTCACAGAGACAACACAGTTAAAACAAAATGCCTGGCTTGCTTGTGTACTGAATAAGCCCAGCATTACTGGGTAAGACTGCATACATGATCAATACTGGAAGTTAAGTTCAGCACTGAACAATACCACACTGAAAGTTACGTCATTTCAGGCAGGTGAGGACCACTAGTTCATACAGCTCAGGTGTCTTTCTCAGAAAGTGGCCATTATCATTCCATCTATGACATCCACAATAAGGACTTCTCCATTTTACTATCATCTGCCTCTGTCATGGACCATTTTGGGATATAACATCATCACCATTCTAAATTTATTTATTTATCTTAATTTATGTGTGTGTGTTTGCCTGTAAGTGCATAATGTATGCAACACCTGAAGAGGCCATAAGAAGGTATTGAAGTTATAAGTGGTTTGTGAGCTGCCTGATGGGGTTGCTGTGAACTGTATTCAAGTCCTCTAGAAGAGCAGCAAATGCTCTTCACTGCTGAGTCATCTCTAGTCCATCACCCATCTCTACAGTTATTGTTTTCTAAGTCGTTTTTTTCTCTGTTTGCATCTTCTCAATAATCTTTCACCTTCAAAAATCTCATTTTGTGTATTTTTCAAGATTTCTCATATGATTAGGATTAAGAAGAGAGAAAAAGAGAAAGACAGAAAGAGAACTATGAAGAGGAAGAGGTGGAGAAAAAAGGATTGGAAAATGAGAAAATCGGAGTGAATGGTTTTTGAGAGACCTTTTGCTTCCACCAAAACACAGCTCATTTCACCACAGACAAGGCACCAGACATACAAAAGTTAGAGAAAGAACAGAGATGGAAGGAAATTTGAGGTAGTTATATCTTCACTTAACTTGAAATGTCTACATTCTTTGGAAGGTCCTGTCCTGTTGGCTCTCAGACACAACTTTCTCATATTTGTGCTAGGTTATTTATACTTGCGCATCTTATTAACACTTCATTTTGCTAGCTTCATCCCATAGTCAGTCAACATGGGCCATCATCGACACATCCCTCTTCCCTCTCAGAGATTCAGACCTCCACTGTTTTAAGCTTCCTGATATTCTCTTATCTCCATTTCTTCTTTTCTGTTCTTAATCTTATACTTATTACTTCATGGGGTCCTGGGATTTTTATGTCTAATAAATTCATAGTTTTTTTTCAAATAACTTTCATTTTTATTCCTTTGGATACATTTTATTTTTAATAGTTTCATATATGAATATTGTATTTATATCATTTCCCCTCTCTCTGTTATCTCTCCAATTGCTCCTCTACCCTCTCATAATTCTCAAATTCATAGTATCCAATTCTTTAGCTATTATTTACATGTGTACCTAGGTCTATCTACATACACAATACATATATAAACTTATAAACCATATTCTTCCTCATTAAAGATACTCTGAATAGAAATTAAAAGCTTACTGGGTAGAAGGGATGAAAAAGAGGCACAATGAGACTACAGGTGCTTCAAGTTAAAAGCCTGTACTGCCAAAGAAGCACGATGAGACTGGAGGTGCTTCAAGTTAAAAGCCTGTACTACCTTTGAAGAGGACCCAACTTTGCTTCATAGCACCCACATCTGGTGGTTCACAAAGGCCTGTGACTTCAGTTCTGGGGACTCAATACCCTTTGCTGGTCTCTTTGGACACTTATGTTTGTAGCATCCCTTGGTCCCAGATCAACATATACACATAATTTTTAAAAATTAATTTTTTAACAAAGAGACACCAAAAGAAAGATAAGGAAACGAACATGAAGAAGTAATTAACAAACTCTTAGTTCCCTTCATCGTAAATAAGTTTCTACCCCAGAGCTGAGATGAGAACTTGTATATGAACTAGAAACTCCTACAATTCCCCACATTCAACTCCACTTTCAAGGAGCAACTTCAAAACAGGATGAATACATCCATTCAACCAAAATGAACACTGAGTGTGTACTGAGCTACGTTGTCATAGATGAGTGTACCACTTTACACTGGGTTCTCACTTGCTTTCACTCTTGTCTATAACTAAGGTCTTACCTGAGCTGGACAGCAGGCCAAAGAGGATAAATGCTAAGAAAAGGTAATGAATCTTCATTGCAAAGTAGCACTGAAACAATACAGCATTCCAACAAGTAAGACAGTTCTGCGGAGATGCTTTTAGAATCAGGATTGCTGGATAGAGTGGTATCTGTGGATGATCAGGAGCTTACATACTTTGATCTTAGGTTCCTGGGCAGTCCACTCCCCCACTGCTACCCTGCAGGCTGCCTGCTTGCTTTGATCATATTGTGACATAAACATGCCATTATTGCATCATCACAGCATGCCTTGTTTATTCCCTTTCCTCGGGGGTCTCAGTGACCACCCACAGGGATCACCTTCTGACTTCTTACCACTTCATAGGTCTTCAAATTGAGGCCTCCATTGGAGAAGTACCTCATCTCCATGCCCCAGATGGGCACAGTGCCTGCTGCTATTGTATATTTCCTCTTTTCTCAGTTGGCATCCTGTTCATGAAGGTAAATGCTGACCTGAACAAATCCATGGGGTTGTTTAACAGACCTGAATCGGAACAGCCTCCAACTCAATGTCTTCTCCACACCGATCCTTAGTACAGCAGACAGTGCTGAAAACGATGATGTGATTGTGCTGTTACTGCTTTCAGCCCGTCATCTTGGGTGTTTTTTCTTTAAATGTGAATTTCCCAAGAAAAGGGGTTACATATCACTGAATCTTGAGCCCAGCACAAGGTGCCACATGATAAATGTTTAAAGAAGTTTCTAGAACTGAAAAGCTGATCTTCTTTGTCACTGTTATTTTTTCTTTTATCTACTCCTTTTACTCCGTGGTAGTTGTTCATATCAGAATAAGTCCCTGGCCCTCCCCTTAAAACACAGATTTTTAAAATTTCCCCTCCTTTTGTGAAAAAAGAAAACATCACTGTACATTTCTTCTTGTCCACTTCTATCAACACTAGAATATTCCTGACCTAGTTTTTCTGAGAGCTGCCGTGAGCTATATTGGCATCAGGCTGGTCTCCAACTCCTGGGCTCAAACATTCCCTTTACCTTAGCCACAATTCTGGGATTTCAGGCCTTCCTTGTCTTTTGCTTCAGCAGTGATATTTTCTTCTTCAAAATATTATCACCTTTTTGGGCTTTCTGTGGTCATTTCTGTCCTTTCCTTCCATTAAAAGAATGTAAGAATATTGATTTTCCTATCCAGACTTCATAAGGTTAGTAATTCGTTTCATTGCAGTTAGGGAAAGGAAAACAAAAGCAGAAAAGAACACCCCCGCTATCCTCTTTCTCTTCTAGATTTGCTCCATCTTAAATGGGAAGCAAGTATAATGAACACTCTATATTCTCTCTGGACTCTCTGGCAGCTAAATTTCCCACTCCTGCCTCATTCTGTTATGTTCATTGTCAAGATTTGCTAGTAGGTAAGCAAAAGTTAGGAAGTCCTAGTTTTTATGCCACTGATAAAGAAGTTTATTGTTACTCTGAGTATAAGTGAATATGCCTCCTTCGATGCATGCCTTTTACCCTAAGTTCTACTCCTGCCTCAACGCTATTATTCTCCCAGGGAGGGCCCCCAGATTCTCAGGTTCTTCAAGGTAAAGTTCTCTTTCCCTTACCTTGTTATAGAGATCTCCCAGACTGATACCACTAACAACTTTTTGTGTAATGTTCAAATCGTTGGCATGGAGCTGCAACTCTCTTAATTTCCCTAGGTTTGTGCCCCTTAGTTTCTGCCTCATCTTTTTTTCCTAGATCAATAGGTTAAAATCCACTCTTGACACCCAATAGGCAGAAAAGGGATGCATGGCGTTTGCTTTCATATGGATTAAACACATTAAAGCCTTTTGAAAATGTCAATTAATGATTAGCCCTTCAAATGAAATTTTTATATGTTTTTATAATTAATTATGCAAAGAAAGATGTTAAGAAAGCTTAGTAATCATTAATTTGAAATTATCAGACTATAAAATTGAGCTGGGATAAAAACATGGAATTATAGTCAAGTTAGACATGGCCATTATTTGGTTGAGTTTCTTTTATAACATTAAGAAGGGAGATTTAATGATACAAAAGGCCCAAAGACCTAGTATAAACCATATCTACTATTAAGAATGAATTCAGGATCCCAGCCTCCAACACCAATAGGTGTCCACTGGGAACACAGCAATCTAACAGAACAAGCAAATAGCCCACAATGCCAGCAGATACCCCCAACCCCAGCAACCACTTCTAAGCTTACTTACTTCTCTTCTTCTCTTTCTCTTTCCCCCCAGATCCAATACCCTAGTTTTATCCTCAGTTCTGCAGCAGGAAATATGTTGTGGTTTCCCTTTCTTCGCTGATCCTGTAAGGGCTAAAGCTAATCTGTAAGTCTCGCTTATCCAAGGACAGATGCTTCCTGAGGTGCTGGAGTCTGCTGTTCACACAACAAGCTATGTGCTTCCACTTCCCTAAACAAGTTTGGTTGACCTCACTGTACAGGATTGCTAGATCACATGGAGGTGTGAAGCATGTACGCGGGAAATCTGTCAGGATGCAAGCTATCCCCAATCAGGACAAAGGTGAGAAGTACTTAACCTTGTGGGATTGCCTTTATAAGCAACTGGCCAATTAAGATTCTGGTCATTCTTTGGATATGTCCCTTGTCAGTGTTTATCTTCTTGGTCAGTATTAAATAAAGCTTTATTTAATTGGATGGTTGTGGAATGAGTCATTCTCCTCATGATTCTCAGGTATAACAACTCCTTTCCTGAAGGAATCGCAAAGACCTTCTCCTTCAACCTTGTTTCCCCCAGCTCCTTCCACTACCTAGCCTCTAACACAAACAAATATTCCCCGTGAACGCATCAGGTGAGGCGGTCACAAAAAAAGGCAACACATAACCATCACTCTCTTTAAAAATGCAAGGAGGAAACAGAAAGCAAGGAACAAAACAATCCAACAAAGACAAATCTAGAAATTATTACCTAGACCTCTAATTCTACCAAACCTAGACGCCCAGATTCCAGTATAAAAACACTATCATTAGTATTCAGGGCAATATCTGTCCACTAGAGGACCGCTATCCCACCACGGCAGCCACGGAATATTCCAGCACAGCTGAAACACAAGAAAAGGTTTTTAAATCAACTATATGAAGATGATAGAGGTCTTTAAAGGGGAAGTGAGTCAATCATTAAAGAAATCCAATCCAGAGAATTACAGACAAACAGTTTGATGAAGTGAATAGAACTCTTTAAGATCTGTAAACAGAAAGAGAATCAATAAAGAAAACATAAGTAAACACACTGATGCAGGAGACAGTTTTCTGAACAAAGCACCATTGGTACAGGCACTAAGATCAAGAGTTAAGAAATGGGACCGCATGACAATAAAAGTATTTTGCCAGACGAAGGACACCTCCACTAAGCAAAGTGACAGGCTACAGAATGAGAAAAGCTTTTTTTTTATCAACTCCCCATCCACAGATGACCAATATCCAAAATATATGAAGAACTCAAGAAGCTAGACATTAAAAAAACTCCAAATAACCCAAATTAGAAAATGAGGTGCAGACTGAAGCAGACAATTCTCAAAAGAGGAAACTCAAATGGCTGAGAAACACTTCAAGAAATATTCAGAATCCTAAGCCATCAGGGAAAATGCAAATCAAAGTGATGCCGAGATTCTGGATTACTCTTTTTAGAATGTCTAAGATCAACAACACAAATGACACTTCATGCTGGCAAGGATGTGGAGCAAGGGAACACACGCAAGTAAGAATGCAAACTGGTACAGCCCCTTTGAAAATCAGTACGGTAGTTCCTCAGAAAGTTGGAAGTCGATCTTCCTCAGTATCCAGCTATTCCACTCGTACATAAGCCCAAAGAACATTTCATCCTACCACAAGGACACTTGCTTGGCCATGCTTAATAGCTTTATTCATAATAGACAGAAATTAGAAAGACCCTAGATGTCCCTCAACCGAAGACTGGATAAAGAAAATATGGTACGTTTACATTGTGGGGTATTACTTAACTGTTAAAAACAATGACATCTTGAAATTGGCAGGCAAATGAATGAAACTAGAAAGAAAAAATTCTAGTGAGTGAGGTACTCGTCCTAGAAAGACAAACGTCGTATGGGCTCACTTAAAAGTGAACATTAGCTGCTAAGCAAATTATAATCAGGCTCTACTCCAGAGAGCAAGAGAGGTTAGGGAAAGAAGAAGGGCCCAGGGGTACACATGGATCTTCCAGAAAGGGGGAAAATAGAATAGATTTTATGATTTTATGGGTTGACTGGGAGCTGATGGGGACAGAAGAGGGGCAGGGAGATTAGGTTCAGGAGTAGATGAGGTGGAAGACGAGAATGCAGGCAAAAGAGTCTGAAATTGGCAGACTTTTAGGAGGTCCCACGGAAATTCCCAAACATCCCAGGCTGTTACTAAGCCAAAGGAATTCTTATTGCACCTTGGCAGCAGGGCCACATTGCCCAGTGCAACACCTTTACATGGAGATGTTGAACTGGTGCCAACATACTGCTTGCCTACCTTCTAGTGCTTTTGTTGTGTGAAGTTGCTCTGCAGGCTATCAAAACAAAAGCATGGACACCTACCCAGCCACAAAACATTTGATCTACAATCTCTTCTGCCTGGAAAATACGCTGCAACCATGATGACACAAAGTTTGTGTGAGTATCCAACCAATGTCTGACTTCACTAGAGGCCCACTCTTAGAGCAGGATCCCATACCGGGAACTTCTAGTGTAAGCACGCACCAGAGGCTAGATAACCTAGAGACCTCGGTTAAAACCAAACACTACTGACCCAAACAAAAGAGTATCAGTAAAATAACTCCTAATGATATCATGCTACGCTTATAGACCAGGGCCTTATCCAGTCGTCACCAGTGAGGCTTCTGTAGACAGCATATGGGATCAGATGCAGACACTCGCAACTAGACATTAACCACACAGAAAGTCTAAATGGGAAGTCTCTATCATATCCCTCCCGTCAGAGCTCAGGGAATTCTGCAGAGATTCTAAGAACCAGTGTGAATGGAGGAAACCAGGAGAACAAGACCCTTTGAATCAACTAAGCAAGGCACATATGAGCTTACAGAGACTGAAGCAGAAAGCACAGGGCTTACATGGGTGTCTCCACTAGCTCCGCTGCTTATATTTTATAGCTATTAACTTAGTACTTTTATGGAACACCTGACTGTGAGAACAAGTGGGCTTTTGTTCCTGCTTTTGGGACACTTCACCTCCTGTTGAGTTG